AGGATAAATCAAAAAGTCTAACCGTGACTTTGCAGTAGTGGACTAGCAATGTGGGAGAAGTACCTGCAATAATGGTTATTTATGTTAAATTCTGAAAAAAAAACCTCATTTGATTGTAGATCATATGAAGCCATCATGCATTTTCAAACATCCAATTTTTTAGTTGGAATGCTATTAGTAAGATTAGTAAAATCCCTCATCTATATGTATTATTACGGTGGCAAACAATAAAGCCAACAAACTCATGATCAGTCTGTTATGCAAAATCACACGGGCATACCATGTGAATGATCACACTTTAGCTAATACAATCAATAACCTAGGTAGCAAAGTGGCAAAAAAGTCTTGCAGAAGAGATATTTGTTCTAAGGACTAGCCAAATTCTCCAATCTGTTGAATCCATTTCATAGGCACAATGGACAATAATTGGTAAATGCTTTCGCTGTCAAACATGAACTATCATGCCTGTTCCACAACTACAACATGCAATAAAGGCCTGAAATACTTTGGGTTGAGAGATAGATATAATTGGGGTTCAGTTTTACTCCACAGGAGGTACACGTATATTTCCCCTTCAGGCTCTATCACTAAATATACAAAACCACCACTCAAGATCTCAGGGAAAAGCATAATCTGGCTTTAATAGCAGTTCACACCTTCATGGCTATTGGTAGAAATCAGAATGTCCCAAACCTTAAAGGAACAGTAGTTTGCGCATTTTTGAAGTGGCTCCAGTACTCATTTTTCACTAATTTTGTGAGCCTTGTAGCAATTACTTTTTGCTTTTTCTTATAATTGGTACATGTACTGTGTCCCAAACAGACATATTGTTCCAGACATAAGCAGCTAAAAGAATCTAGCAACAAAGGATACCGTTATGAAGGCATATCCTTACAACATTAAAACATTAAACGTATATGTCATGAGCAGAGATGCTAAATCATCGTGTACAGAAATGGATTTTTACATGCTTAGTTGCACTATAACATTACAAAGGTAATATCAGACAGATTCTCTGTCAAGACTTGAGAGAGGATAGATTTTCTTTCAACTTCCTAAAGTTCAAGGGACATAGAGTAGAAAAAAGTACCACTTGACTACCTTTTACATCATTTATTTAATTTGGCATGCCTATATGCCTATTCCATCCAAACATTCTACTACAGAATAGAAAATTCTAAGAGGTGCGAATTATTTAAATGCATCTCTGGATGTCCTCCACCGACAGCTGGAATTATAGTGCCACTAGCTAATATGTACCACGAGAGCTGAAAGCAAGGATCTCTTGAGTCCAGGTAAGCATGAGAATCAACAACCAAATGGTTCTGGCCAGAGAAATGTGAAGGACAACCTGCATTTTTCTTGAACCTCTAGCACAAGGACTATTTAGATTGTGAAACTAGTTAAACAGAGAAAAATGAAGCTAATCTATCAATTACTTTAATCTTTAAGTTTATGAATAGTCCATGAAATTCCACAAAACATAGTGAAAGAAACCTTAATATTTAAACATAAGTTACATGAAACATTTCAGTAGCCAAAGAGGTCAATCTGATATGTCGGTTTGATTCAAAAATTCCAAACAAAAATGAAGAGAGAAAATGTTGTCATCTCTTTTATCAACTATCACTTCCTCAAGCAATGTCCATTTTACCTACGACTTCTGCCTAAGACATTCTCAGATTTTATATTTCATTGTAGGAAGCAACTTCATCAAATCAAAAAGAAAGAAAAGGGTAGGAAAGGCTTCCAAATATTAGGAAAACAAAAACAATGCACTCAATTAAAGATCAATAAACAAAAGTTTTAAACATCATATAATAGGTTGTGGCTTTAAATGCAAAAATAGTACTGCAGTATACTTCTTAACTCTAGTACATAAGCAGGTATCCATAATATCCTTAACTTCTTTAAGATGGCCCAAGTTTATGGCCATAATTTTCAATCATGAAATATTATAAGCAAGATGGTGATGCCCACGTAAACAAGATTATTGAAAGTAGATCTATAAAGAATGGGTCATCATATAAAAAAATAAAAATCATGAAACCATCATTCCATTTTCAATTCAGCAGGGGTTCAATAAGGCAGATGATCACCCACGCACATCATCTAATAAAAAACATTGGACATACATAAACCCATTCATTAAAGAGCTAAGAAATAACAACACAACACAAATGACAAG